TCAAACTAAAAAGCTTCTGCATAGCAAAAGAAACAGTCAAAAAATGAAAAGGCAATCTACAGAATGGGAGAAAATACTTGCAAACCATGTCTGATAAGGGGTTAATAACCAAAATACATAAGGAACTCCTACAACTAACTCAATAGGAAAAAAAAAAAAAGGGCTTCCCTGGTGGCGCAGTGGTTGAGAGTCCGCCTGCCGATTCAGGGGACACGGGTTCGTGACCCGGTCTGGGAGGATCCCACATGCCGCGGAGTGGCTGGGCCCGTGAGCCATGGCCGCTGAGCCTGTGCGTCCGGAGCCTGTGCTCCACAACGGGAGAGGCCACAACAGCGAGAGGCCCGCGTACCGCAAAAAAAAAAAAAGGATCAAATTAAAACATGGGCAAAAGACCTGAATAAACATTTTTCCAAAGAAGATTTACAAAAGGCCAACATGTATATGAAAAGGTGTTCAGTATCACTAATTATCAGGGAAATACAAATCAAAACCACAATGAGATATCACCTCACACCTGTTGGAATGGCTACCATGTAAAAGACAAGAGATAACAAGTGTAGGTGAGGATGTGGAGAAAAGGGAACCCTTGGGCACTGTTGCTAAGAATGTAAATTGGTGCAGCCACTGTAGAAAACAGTATGGAGTTTCCTCAGAAATTTTAAAATGGAACTACCATATGATCCAGCAATCCCACTTCTGGGTATATATCCAAAGAGGATGAAATTATCATCTCAAAGAGATATCTGCACCCCCATGTTCATTGCAGCATTGTTCACAACAGCCAAGATAGGGGGGCAACCTAAATGCACATTGATGGATGAATGGATAAAGAAAACATGGCATACACACACACACACACACACACACACACACACAATGGAATGTTATTCAACCACAGAAAAGAAAACATCCTGCCATTTGCAACAACATGGATAGAACTTGAGAGCGTTATGCTAAGGGAAATAAGTCAGACAGAGAAAGACGAATACTGCATGGTCTCACTTATATGTGGAATCTAAAGACATTGAATTCATATAAACAGAGAGTAGAATGGTGGTTGCCAGGGACTAGGGGGTGGGAGAAATGGGGAGATGCTGTTCAGAGGGTACAAACTCCCAGTTACAAGGATAGGTTCTGGGGAATCTAACGTACCATATGTTGACTGTTTAACAATATTATATCGTTAGCATTTGAAAGTTGCTAAGAGAGCAAATCTTAACTGTTCTCACCACAGAAAAAAGGTAATTATGCGAGGTAATGGATGTGCTAACTAACCTTATTGTGGTAATCATTTCGTAACACGTGTGTGTACTAAGTCATCACATTCTACACCTTGAACTTACACAGTGTTATTTGTCAATTACATCTCAATAATGCTGGGGCAAAAAACAAACAGGCAAAGGGCAGCCTGTCTCACTTCGCCCCCAGCTTGTAGATTAAAAGATCTTGTGTCTGTCAAGCCAGGTTCTGCCTTCTGGTCAAATTCCACCTCACTCTGTGATCAACACAGCAATGAGTGAGGGAGATGCACAGTCTGGGGAAACCATGGCCAGCAGACCCCAAATGTCCCTCCCACCTTCCACAGCAGCAACCTGCGTTCCTAGCCTTCCTGCAACCCCCCCACGTCCTGAGGTCTCAGCAGCCAGTCTCTCTGGCTCTCACAAAACCATAAAAATAAGGACTCCCCTGGTGGTGCAGTGGTTAAGAATCCGCCTGCTAATGCAGGGGACATGGGTTCAAGCTCTGGTCCAGGAAGATCCCACATGTCGTGCAGCAACTAAGCCCGTGTACCACAACTACTGAGCCTGTGCTCTAGAGCCCACCAGCCACAGCTACTGAGCCCACACGCCAGAACTACTGAAGCCTGAGTGCCTATAGCCCGTGCTCCACAGCTAGAGAAGCCACCGCAATGAGAAGCCCACGCACCACAACGAAGAGTAGCCCCCGCTCACTGCAACTAGATAAAGCCTGTGCACAGCAACGAAGACCCAACGCAGCCAAAATAAGTAAGTAAAATATAAATAAATTTATATTAAAAAACCCATAAAAATCAAGCCCAACTCCAATCAGAAAAGCATCAACCCTCTGTTAAGTCTCTGATGTCCCAAATATGTCTGGTGAAGTGGTATGTTTCCAATACAGATTTCACACAGAAGCTTGAGTAACCTTCATAAAATCAGATCTGATCGTGTCTTCCACTTAAATCACTTTAAGGCCTTAGAAGGGAGAATCACTGCCTACAACAAGGCTTCTGCCAGGGCATACTACAGCCAGTGGGCCAAATGCAGCCAGGCACCTGTTTTTAAATAAAGTTTTATTGGAACATCACCACGGCCGCTTATTCAGCTATTGTCTGTGGCTGCTTTTGCTACGATGGCAGAGATGCCACAGACCACCTGACCTGCAAAGCCTAAAACATTTACTATCTGGCCCTTTACAGAAAAAGTGTGCCCATGCCTGGCTTTCCTGTCTCTTTTTTCATCATTGTTGTAAAATATATATAACATAAAATTAGCATTTTAAACATTTTTAAGGGTACAATTCAGTGGCATTAAGTACATTCACATGGCTGTCCCACCATGGCCACCATCCATCTCCAGAACTTTTCCACTTCCCAAACTGAAACTCTACCCAGTAAACACTAACTCCTCATTCCCCTCCTCCAGCCCCTGGCAACCTCTATTCTACTTTCTCTCTCTGTGAATTTGCCTATTCTAGGCACCGCACATCAGTTCAATCATACCATAGTTGTCCTTTTGTGTCTGGCTTAGTTCACTTAGCATAACGTTTTCAAGGTTCGTCCATGTTGTAGCAGGCGTCAGAATTTCATTCCTTTTTATGGCTGAATAATATTTCATTGTACGGATGGACCACACTGTGTTCATCCCTTCATCTGCCGATGGACACTCGGGTTGTTTCATCTTTTGGCTGTTGTGAACAGTGCCGCCACCTGCCTAACCCAGCAGTCTCTTCTTGCATCACCTGCCTGCTCCCTTAGCCACAGAGGCCTTCCATCAGTTCCTCCAGTGGGTCATGCTCCCTTCCTGAAACACCTCCCACCCCTTCCACCATCTTAATCCCTAATTAACCTTCAGTCCAAACAGTTCTTCTGGAAGCCACGCCGACCAAACCCTCCCCAGTCCCCCCACTCAGCTCCCTGCCAGTGCAAACTCAATCAGCTCCACAAGCTCTGACAGCATCCTGCACTTTCTTCTGATAGCCTGTAACACTGTTCGTAAATACTGGACATAAGATTATAACACCTGGGGCTTCCCTGGTGGCGCAGTGGTTGAGAGTCCGCCTGCCGATGCAGGGGACACGGGTTCATGCCCCAGTCCGGGAAGATCCCACATGCTGCGGAGCGGCTGGGCCCGTGAGCCATGGCCGCTGGGCCTGTGTGCTGGAGCCTGTGCTCCGCAACAGGAGAGGCCACAACAGTGAGAGGCGCGCGTACCGCAAAAAAAAGAAAAAAAGATTATAACACATATGTGTGGTTACTGGATTAGTGTCAGTCTTCACGAGGCCAAGGGCTATGTCTTTTTCCTTTCCATTGTACCCCGCCGACTAGCCCAGAGTCTAGAACACACCACATTTCATCAATTCTAAGATGCACACAGGATGTATCTTACGATCAACGTCTTAGATTCACCCACAAATGGTAGTGAGAGCTCACGAAACACCGGCTAAATCGTTGAAATGGAAATGCAGTGAACCGTTCCCCAGTGGTTGCCCCACCTCAGAGCTCCCAGAACCGGTGTCCACACCTTTCACACACGACAGTTCCCAAATTTAGACTCTTACCCGCATCTCCTCATAGGATTATCCATAACCATTTTATCTTCTATGCCTCAGGTGCAATTTTGTTAAAGGTAAATATTTAAAACGTGCTACTCACTTCTGTGACCCTGTTTAGCATTTCTTCCATTTTTAATACACTGAGACCTCAAAAACCCGCAAGGGACCCAGGTCACAGTCAGCCTCTGAGGGGCCCTGGAGGGAGCTGCCCCATTTCTCTCATTAGCCAGCATACAGTCACAGACGCCGTGTCGCCCTCTGCTGGCAGCAAGTCCCACCTACGCACCCCCCCCCCCACCGCCCCCACCCCCACCCCCACCCCCGCAAGTCAGAGCCAGGTACAACCCATGTCAACTTTCAGGATTTTTCTCCCCTGGGTGCCTTGGCCCACCTGCAGCTTCTGTGGGACGACCTTTGCTCTGACAGTCCACTCATCCACTCCCTGAGCCCCCTCCCACCCCCAGCAGACCTGGGCATGTATCTCAGGTATAAACACAGAGCAAGTCCCAGGCACAGGGTCGGTCAGGGCAGCACCATCCAGCACCGCAGCCAAGTGACACAGGCAGCCAGTCCATACTTGGAAGGTGGCCGGTATGAACTGAGCTGAGCTGCTGGTGTGAAATACCCTCCAGATTTCAAAGACTCAGTGTGGAGAAAAGAATGCAAAGTATTTCCGTAATAACACTTTACACTGATTCTACTGTGAAATGATCACGTTTTACGATATTGGGTTAAATGACATATCATGAAAGTTAATATCACTCGTTTCTTTTGACTCTTTTAAGGCAGCTACTAGAAACCGTAAGGTCGCGTATGCAGCTGGCGTCCTATTTCTAGGTGTAGCACTAGGATAGACTCTGCAGGGACTGGCAAGTTTTCCTGTAAAGGGCCAGACGGTAAAGACTGCGGCTTTTCGGGCCACCCTCAACTCGGCCATCGTAGCAGGAAAGCACCCACAGACAAAACAGAACGGAACGAATCTGGATGCGTTGCAATAAATTCAGATTTGGCTCCTGGGCTATAGTTTTCCGACCCCTACTTTACAGCATTAATAGTATTAAAAGGGGTCATTTCTGGGAAATTCCGGACCAGCCATTAGGGAAAAACCGCCTTTCATTCAACTGGAGGAGGGAAATACAAGTTGATTTGAAGCTTCCCTGACTGGGAGGCTCAGCTGCCCCCGGGAACCCACCAAATGCACTCACTTGGGCGTGTGGGCCTCGTCTACGCGGTGACCCAGCTGGAACTCGTGGGACTTGCTCCGATGCAGGGCCGTGAAACCCGGGATCAGGTGGATCAGCTTCCGGGAGGAGGGCGGCGGGGTCCCCGGGGGCTTCAGCTTGTTCTTCCTCCTCATGGGTGGCGTGCCGGGCGGGGTCACGGTGGTGACGATGTTGGGGGTGCGCGGCGGGGTGCGGACCGTGTGCCGCTGCCGGGGCGACGGAGGCAGGGACCGGTGGCCCGACTCCAGTGGCAGGGGCGGGCACAGGCCCGGGTAGGCGTCCACCGTGAGCCTGTCCACGTGGGTGTACACGGGGGGCCCCGGGCTGGGGCTGGCGTGACAGTAGTGCTGGACGCACTTGGACTGGACCCTGGGGCTCTGGGAGAGGTGGGTGCGGATCCACGGGGTCGGCTCCGGGGGGCACACGGGGTTGTTCTCCTTCCCCGTCTCCGTGGTGGGCCACTGGATGGTCCAGTCTTGTTTGGAAAGGTTGCCTCCTGAGTTGGGACAAAGGAGCAGAGATGACAGATGAGCCATGAGAAAGTGGGTGAATTACACTGTAGGCACATTACTGTAGACGCGCGTTACACCGTGTGCACCGTGCACCGTGCGTGTGCCGATTACAGCGTGCTCTGTACGCACATTTACATAAATTACGCACGGTATGGCTGTGTGCACATTTACATAAATTCAACCACACCCACTTGGCCCCTCCAAAAAGAACGAAACCCTTTAGTTGACCGTCTCACCATAATCCCCATTCAACAGCCTTGCCCTCCACTGTCCAGGGTTGGGGAGCCCACAGCTCAAATGTCCAAGGAAAGAGCGTGGCAGGTGTGGGGAGAGGCGAGGAGGCTGGTAGGGACAAAAGCATAGAGGTAGAAAGGAGATTTTCTTGTCTTACAACAGTTTATTAGAAAAAATGGAGCACTAAAAAAAAATCCTACTGCCTGAATGCAACTTGAGGTTTTTTTCAGCCCTGATATAAGCTAAGTCAGAAAATAAAACTAAATCCTATAGTTCACTAACATTTTTCACTCATTTGCTGTATTAAGAGTGCAAATACGTATTTGGTCTACACATACAGACTCTCAGGCTACAACGTGCAGTCCTACATCCTCTACACTAAGAGATGTAAAAGCGTAAGGGTCAAATACTGAGACCAAACGTTCAGGCTCCAAAACCATCTAAGTCAGGGCAGGCACTTTCCTGGGTCCCTTTTCCAGTGTCTTCTCGAAGGCAATATATGGTGACAATGGGAAAACTGGCTCAGGAGGCTGAAGGGACAGGTGAGGGCAAACCTCCAGGCCCATGTGGATTTTATACCAAGTTCAACAGGAAGCCATTGAGGGTTTTGATCTAAAGTTCATTTCTCTAGTTAGCATCTATCACCATACAAAGATATCACGTTATTATTGACTATATTCCCCACGCTGTAACTAGACCTATCGTGGTGATCGTTTTGTAATATATAGAAATTTCAAATCACTATGCTGTATACCAGGAAGTAACAGAGTGTTGTAGGTCAATTATACTTCAAAAGACAAACACACTTATAGAAAAAGAGATCAGATTTGTCATTACCAGAGATAGGGGTGCGGAGGAGGAGAACTGGATGAAGGCTGACGAGAGGTGCAAACTTCCAATCATAACATAAATAAGTACTAGCGATGTGCTGTACCACGTGATTAACATAATTAATACTGCCATTTGTTACACAGGGAAGTGGTTAGGAGAGTAGATCCTAAGAGTTCTCATCACAAGGAAAAAACTAGCTCTTTTTCTTTTCTTTTCTATCTATATGAGATGATGGAGGTTCACTAAACCTACTGTGGTCATCACTTCATCATGTATGTAAGTCAAACCGTTATGCTGGACACCTTAAACATACACAGTGCTGTATGTCAATTATTTCTCAACAAAACGGGAAGAGAGAGAGAGAGAGAGAGAGAGAGAGAGAGGTAATAGAGGACAGATAGACAAATAGATAATAGATGATAGATAGATAGAGGCTGCTGCTTGGACAAGGAGAACCCAGTTAAAGGGTATCACAGGGCTCCCGCTGAGAGAGGATGCTGGCTTCCACTTGGGTGGTGGCAGCACAGATGGAGACAAGTCAGCAGGTATCAAGAGAGGACCACGGGGCTTCCCTGGTGGCACAGTGGTTAAGAATCCACCTGCCAATGCAGGGGACACGGGTTCGAGCCCTGGTCCAGGAAGATCCCACATGCCGCAGAGCAACGAAGCCCACGTGCCACACCTACTGAGCCTGCGCACTAGAGCCCGCGAGTCACAACTGCTGAGACCGCGAGCCACAACTACTGAGCCTCCGCTCTAGAGCCCGTGCTCCACAACAAGAGAAGCCACCGCAATGAGAAGCCCGCGCACCACAAAGAAGAGTAACCCCCACTCGCCGCAACTAGAGAAAGCCCGCACGCAGCAACAAAGACCCAACGCAGCCAAAAATAAATAAATAAATTTATTTATTTTTTTAAAAGAGAGAGAGAGAGAGAGGACCACGTGGCAGGACCTGGCAGAAGGCGATCGAGTGGGCCCTCCCATCAGAGGCCAAGCTGAAATAAATTCCAACTCGTGGCCGACTGGCAATAACAATAATAATTACTATAAGGACCATGACAAGAGCTAATTTATAGAGCATTTGACAGTTTACAAAGTGCTTTCATGAGCACTGACTCACTGCCCCTTTTTTAATTAAAAACAACTCATTTTGTTGTTACATATTCATTATAGAAAAATTAGGAAATTCGGATAAGGAAAAAGGCAATGTTGTTCTACAGCCGACCCATCCTGCCTATTAATGCTCGGCTGTGGAGCCTGCCAGCTGGTTTGCTGTGCTTTTTTTCTTTTTTTTTTAAGAAACACCATAAGATCTTATTTAATGGTTGGTCATCTGTTTTCTTCATTTGTTATATTGAGACTGTTCCACATCTTACTTAATTTTCATAAATCTGTGTGCAAAGGGCCATTTTGATCTCTACTTTGTAGATGAGGAAATGTATGTGCAGAGATGAAGATGTTTCCAAGGTTACAGCAGAGATGGGAGCTGGCCTCTGGGATTCAAACCCAGGATCTTGGCCAACTCAACAACGAGGGCACAGGGCCTCTAGGACAGTGGGACCTGCATTCACCGAAGACCCTGGACCGTCATAATCCGCACAATGGAAGCAGGAGCTGGAGCAAGGCTACTTCTGGCAAGAGTCTCCCTTTTCCTTCCTCCCAGACTTTGCCAGAACATTCTACCAAAATCACCATCACTATGGTGTGTCGATTCTCAAATATTTACACATACACATTAGCCCGGGGACTAAGAGAGCCAGCTCTGGAGTCAGATGACTTGGCCCTAATTCTGGCTCTCCTACTTCCTGGCTGTGTGACCTTGGACACTCATCAAACTTCTCGGAGTCTTAGCTTTATCAGCAGTGAAACAGGAAAATAGTAGACCTGCTCCGGGGGAATATTATGAGGATCAAATGCAATAACACAAGCAGTGTGCTGAGCCCAGCACCTGGCACACAGCAGGCCCTCCATAAACGTTAGCTGATTGTACTGTAATTCTCAACACCATGGTGATGCGTTGCTACCTCCCGTTTAAAGCGTATGCACCTGTGCTGAGAGCTGAACACGGCACCGGGTGACGTCACCTCCCTGTGTACCTCTCGGAAGGTGATGTTCAGAGAGGCTGAATAGCTCTGAGAGCTGGGGACAGACAGAATCAAGCCCAGATCAGCTTGATTCACCCAGCAAGCTCTGGATTGATGTATTTGCTCAGGAAATACAAACACATTGGCAAATGAGCCTAAGTAATACATGTGTAAGAAAGTAAATCTATTTTTTTAAGTTATCTTCATCACATACCACGCTCCAAGGCCACAGGGAAGTACTGTGGGCATTATCGCTAGAGCTCATGCTCCCTTGAGTGAAGTGAAAAGAATATGGGACTGCAACTCAGAGAGATCCAGCTTAGAACTCTGGTTCCACTGCTGATCAGCTCTGTGATCTTGGGCCAGTTACTTGACCTCTCTGAGACTCTGGGGGTCTGTAAAATGAGAATGAATAATCATGGCTCCCTTGGAGGGTGCAGTGAGGATTAAGCACATTCATTCATTCATTCACCCAAGTATACTTCACAAATATTTGAACTCTTCTTGTATACCAGGCACTGTTCTAGGCACCAGGATACAGCAATGAACAAAAGAGACGAAAGTTCCTGTCCTCACAGAGCTCATGTTCTTGGTAAGGAAACAGAGAAGAAAAGGGGATGAACAAAAAAAATAACATTATATTACTTATAAGATGTCATATATAATATAATGCCTGTAATATGTCAGTGATAATAAATGCTAGGGAGGAAAAGAAAGCTGGACGTGGGCACCAAAAAGGAATATTGGGGCTACTTCAATCAGAAAAGGATGCAGACGTGACAGTGGGCATTTGAGCAAATACCAGAGTGAAGCAAGCAGCGAGTTAATGAGACACAGTGAGTCGAGCTGTCAGCACAGAGCCTGGACCACATGATGGTGCAGACAAATGGGCAGGTGCTTGAGGATGAGTGAGACGTCTGTTGTGGATGCCTGGGACTCATCTAGCCTGCTCCCCAGGCACTCGCTATACCAGCGCCTGGCGTTGGGCGTCTGTCTCCCCTGTCCTCGAGATGCTCACAGGCCAATGGGAAGATCAACGATGAAATAAGCACTTACTGCAATTGCACTCCCAGGTATAGACCCAAAGGAATTGAAAGCAGCACTCAAATGTCTGTATGTGAATGTTCACAGCAATGCTAGTCACAACAACCAAAAGGTAGAAACAACCCAAATGCCCATCGACTGACAAATGGATAAAGTAAAGGTGGTGCGTCCATACAACGGGATGTGATTCCACCATCAAAGAGAATGAACTACTGATACAGGCTACAATTTGGATGAACCTCAAAAACACGATGTCAAGTGGAATCAGCCGAACATGAAACGTCACATAGTGTATGATTCCATTTATACGAAATGTCCAGACTAGGCAAATCCATAAAGACAGAAATCAGACTAGTGGGTGCCAGGGGCTGGGGTGGGGGGAAGAAGGAATGGGGGGCAACTGCTTAATGAGTACAGAGTTCCTTTACGGGTGATAAAAGTGTTCTGGAACTTGATAGAGGTGATGGTTGCACAACGCTGTGAATGCACTAAATGCTGTGGAATCGTTCACTCTTAAATGGTTAATTGTATGTTCTGTGAGTTTCACCTTGCTTAAATAAATGTAAGTACTCACAATATGGAACCGGGAATCCAATGTTAGAGAAAGTGCAGGTGAGTGAGAGCAGAGGGGAGGAAGCCACCTTTCTGGGGAGGGATGGGGAAAGGCATCCCGGAGGAGCAGACACCTAAGCCCAGATCTTGAGGATGAAGGAGAACATCCTAGGAAAGGGGCAGAGTGGAGGATGTAGGAGGAAGGATGAGGACAGAGGGAACAGCAGGGCCAAGGGCCA